AAATGCTAGAACTGTTAAGCGCTGACTGTTCTCCCTAAACAAAATCTCAATTGTTCATTTCTCTTTGAATTTCTTGGACCTTTAAAAAATGGTGGGTGCATTTCCAAGGTAAAACTGTTGACATTTTTTATTGGAACTACTTGGATTCTGTTAATCAGTTGGGGAGACTGTTCTGTAAAATCCTGAGTCTTTTAAATCCATGAACATGCTATTTCTCTGTGTATCTTTAGGCCTTCGGAATGCCCTTCAAAATTTTGATGGTTTGGTTTAGGGTGTTACCCTTTTCATCTTTTATTGTAGATTGGTTCTTCAGCCTCCAGTCATTTTGATGCTCATGTAAATTATGTTGATGTCTTTAATTTCATTTTCTTACTTATTTGCTGCTGGTGTGAGAGAAATACAATTTTATACGTGAAAGAATTTTTTTTTTTGTATCCCGCAATATTCAACTCATTAATCCTAATTCTAATAACTTATTTGTCTCTTGTTGTTTTCTGTGTACTCGTCATCATCTGCAAATAATAAGTTTAGATTCTGCCTTTATGATCCTTATATCTTTTATTTATTTTTCTTGTCTTACTCTGCTGGCTAGGACTTCCGGTACAGTGATGCATAGAAGTGGTCATAGCGGGGCAGCCTAGTCTCCGTGCTGATCTCAAAGTGAAAGCTTTCGACGTATCACCATAGGTATGAGCTTTTTTGTAGGTTTTTTTTTTTGTTGTTTTTTTTGTAGGTACATTTGTCGTACAAGGAAGTACATATCTATTCCCAATTTCCCAAGAGGATTTTTCCCCCCCTTAACCATGAGTGGGGTAAATATTTTATAAATTGCTAATGATTCTGAGATGAAAAACATCTTTTTATTCTATTGATACACATGACTTCGTTGATGTAACTTTAAAAAGCAAGCTGACTTTGCCTATTGGGTGAGCAACCGTCTTGATGGGCCCGAGAATATCCTTGTTGAATCACTGACCGTGATTGACATTCTCGGTCTCTCGTGCTGACGTAAAGCAAACCGCATCGTGCGTATTTTTTTCTGAATTGCTGGGTTTGCTGATACTTTGTGTAGGAATTTGACATCTCAGTCATACTGTTGCCTGACTTTTTTTCTCTTACACCGAACTTGTCGGTGTTGCTCTACGCCCGTGTGAGTTGGAGCTTGTGCTTTTCTGCTCTGCTTTCTGGAAGAATCCATGAAGTTCAGGGGGACTGTCTTTGCAGGGTGACAGACAGCCTTGGTAGAAGCTAATAGGACCGCTTGTTTGCTGAACGTTTTAAACGGTCTCCGTTCGTTTCGACGGGTTTATTCAGATTTTTGTTTCCCTGTGGGCATGATGCCCTTTCAGTTGTCTGTTTCATCTGATTTCCAAGTTTCTTGGTCTCCGCCTGTCGTGCTGACTGGAGTGCCTGTAGGATGCCCTTCCTTTCTGATTCTGCCTCACGGTGCCTGGCCTTTTCTTCCTCGGTTCTTCCTGGACTCTTACCCAGGATGTGTTTTTTTTATGACTCAGTCAAAAATCAAGTTTGGACTTTGTGTACCGTCTCTTTTAGTTTTTTGTTTTCTGTCTTATTCGTTCACGGTCTTCGTTATTTTTTTCCCCCTTCTGTTTTGTTGGGCTGGAGCGATAGCATAGCAGGTAGGGCATTTGCCTTGCACGCGGCCGACCCGGGTTCGATTCCTCCGTCCCTCTCGGAGAGCCAGGCAAGCTACCGAGAGCATCTCACCCGCATGGCAAAGCCTCGCAAGCTCCCCGTGACGTATTCGAGATGCCAAAAACAGTAGCAACAAGTCTCACAATGGAGACGTTACTGGGCCCGCTCGAGCAAATCGATGAGAACGGGAGGACAGTGACAGTGACAGTGTCTGTTTTGTTCCTTTCTAGTTGGTTACTTTGAGTATCTATATCATGATGGCAGCATTGTTTGGGGGCTCGGGGCCATTCCCAGTGGTTCTGGTGGTGCTTAGGGGCTACTCTTATTTCCGTGCTCAGGGATCACACCTGGCAGTGCTCAGGGGGCCGTATGTGGTGCCAAGGATTGAACTGGGCTAACTTCGTTTGCGATTAAGCTTGCAAAGGCCAGCACTTTCCCTCTCCCTGTGTTTTAGTTTTTATTTTGGGGGTGTGGGGGGAGCACTCCTGGCTCTGCACTCGGGAATCACTCTCGGTGGGGCTCAGGGGCCCCTATGGGATGCCGGCGATGGGACCCGGGTGGGCCACACTAGACCCGTACCTGCTGGACTGTTGCCCTGGCCCCGGGGCAGTGGTTTTCTTTGAGCTGCGTCTGGTGATGCATCGCGTTTCTTGTTTTCTTGTTTCTGGCCCCTGCATTGAGTCCCAGCCAGGGGGCTGCGAATGGCCGGTCTGGGAGACCCCTAAGGACTGCAGAGTCAAGCGACTGCAAGCGCCGAGGGCACGTGACCGTGCCCGCCACCCTCTGTCGTGACATCACCGGTTCTGTGACGGTGTGCACTCTCCTCCTGCCTTGGTGTCCCTGGGCTTGTACTGACCTCTCCTTTCCCCTTTGCTGCTGTCGCTGCGGCGACCGGGAGTCACGCACACCTTTGGCTCGGGTCCTTGCGGGGTGTGCCTGCTTCTAGTTGGTGCCCTGACCGTGACCGCTGGGCCGCGCGGGGCGTTGCCGGGGGCCAGGCGCCGAGACTGACCCCTGCCCAGCGAAGGCTGTCCTGCTGAGCCCTCCCGGCCCCCGGGTCCCTTTCTGAACCGCGATGTTCCCTCTGTCTCCTCCCACTCAGCCCCTCTCCAGACGGAAACGGGCCGATTTCCTTTCTTGTTCGAGTGTGAGCCCTTAGGATTTGCCCGCTGCCCGCTTCACGTGTGGAATCAGGCCACGGCCTCGGGAGCATTCTCTCTCTCCTGTTCAGCCTCATAGCTTTCCCTCTGGAAAGACTCGGCCAGTTCTCCAAGTCCGCCTTGCCACTTCATTTCAGATCTAATTCCAGTTACCCCAGCGGCCTCCCCCCGCCCCCCTCCGTTTCTCATCTAGTTTCGGGACAATCTTGTATTTTCCGTATCCCCTGTGCGTGCCGTGGGTTTCAGTGACGGGCTTCCAAGCTGGCTTGCCGCCTGGCCAGAGTGCCGTGAAGGCGAGGCTACAGTTGTATGGCACAGCAGTAGGGCGTTGGCGTTGCACGCAGCCAGCCCGGCCGAGCCGGGTTCGATTCCTCCGCCCCTCTCGGAGAGCCTGGCAAGCTACCCGTGAGGTACTCAATATGCCAAACACAGTAACAAGAAGTCTCACAATGGAGACGTTACTGGGCCCGCTTGAGCAAATCGATGAACAACGGGAGGACAGTGTTTGTTTTTGTTTGTTTGCATCTTTATTTGGGCGGGGGGAGGAGTGCTCCCAGGCGGTGCTCAGGAAGCTCAGGCTGCCTCAGTGGCCCTCAGACAGCTGGGCGGCTGGTTCAGAGCAGGGGCTCAGCTTGGGCCCTCTGGTGCTGGGGACAGTTTTTAAATCCTCTTCTAACCAGCACTTAGCAGGAATGCCGAGGATCGCTCTTGTTCATATTTAAATTAATAATGTATCAGCTCTCTTATCAGCTGTGATGTATTGCTCCGGAAGAAACGGAACCAACGTTAATAAATTGTAAATGGATCGCAGAGCCTTAGCAGGCATTGAGTGGAAATTAATTAATAAGAAATGTTCAGGGAGTGCAGAGCCGCAAGGTGATTAACAGCGTGAAGTCTGGAGCAAGGCCAAAAGCTAGTCTTGGTTCGAACTCCAGCCTTTACCACCGCCCGCGTGATCTGTGCAAGGGATTTGTGGGGTTTTTTTTTTTTTTGGCTTAATGTGTAATGCCTATTTCACACCTCACTCAAGTGCCGCTTACGTATTACTGTTCCTGTTTCTTTACATTTAAGAATTTTGGTTTATTCCATTTGGGTTAGAATGGGATAGGTCTGTGGTGATGGTTTTCCATGTCGTGTTTTCGGATAGCAGTCGTGTTAGAATTTTTCTTTTCATCAGACCATTTAATACTTAGTAAAATTCGGAATACAGACGCATGTTTGAGAATTGCGATTGTTTGCAAACAGCTTAGATCTGATGAAAGAGGAACGGTTGAGTATGTTCTAGAATGTGATCCATCGGTTCAGGTGTTTGCATTGGGGCTGGAGTCTGTGCTCTGTGTGCCAAGGCACCCGGTTCCCCGAGCTTCGCCGGGAGTCATCCCCAGAGCTGGGAGGGCTCCCTGAGCACTAACCACTGGCTGTGGCCCATCTTCTCCCCCAAAAGTTTGCATTTTAACGGTATAGGACAGGATTACGGAACAGTAGGTAAAATACTCTGATCAGACAATGCTAAGATGTCAACTTGTGAGTGTTTTGGGATGAGACTGATGGTGTATTTTGTATTCATGGGTATTTTTTTTTAGGGGGGGGAATGCACAACCAACAGTGCCCAGGGGCTGCTCTTGGCAATGTTTGGGGGACCCTGTGGGATGCTGGGGATTGAACCCGAGTCAGCCACGTGCCAGGCAAACGCCCTCCCTCCGTACTATTGCTCTGGCTCCTGACTTTTCTTTTTCAAACGGGGCGAGTAACTGACGTCCTAACGTTAGCTGCTGACAGGTCCATGAACTAAATTGAAAGTGGACTGGACCGCTACGTGCCAGTTAATTCATCCCGTCAGTGTTGCTGACGTCCTGCTTGGCATAGGTAATTCTTGTTTAAAGGACACTGCAGTTCTTCAATATTGGCTCCCATTTTTGCATTTTATCACGGGAACTTCCTGCTCCTCTTTTCTGTGGGGCGGGGGTCAAACCTAGGGTCTCAGGCGCGCAAAGCGTGCTTCCCTGCTGAGCGGTGCCCCTTACCTCCTTCCAGCACTTTCTGCCCCTGGTTTTTCATTCCTGCAACTTGCCATGAGCACGCAGTTCCCGCGAAACCGTCTTCCGAATGTCAAGTTCTTTTGTGCTCGTGGCGGTGCCATGCATTCTGGTTTGATGTAGGTTTTCCCGCTTCTTCTGTTCACAGCAGCTGGAGCAGATTCAGAAGGAGCTAAGTGTTCTAGAAGAGGATATTAAAAGAGTGGAAGTAAGAGATCAAGAATTCCTCCCGCCTCTAGCTGTTTGTCGATTTCCTGAAATTGTCACTTTTCTTTAAATTGCTGCACTAAATTTATGGGATTAGTCTGTTACGTAGAAAATAACAGATGTTACTTTGATTTTAATTGAGTGCACTTTTGTAGAAAAACCTTCTGAAATCTTAATGAAAATATATTCTGATGTTGGCTGTGCAGTGCTTTATTGCCATAATTAGCCGTGGGTAGATTGAAAAATGTTATTTAATTTTCTTGGTGTGCCATCATGTTAACTTAAATAAATTCCTGCAAAACCCTCGGTTGTTGCCATCAAAATGATGTCACAGTCCTGCTCTTTTATTAACGATTTGTTATATTTACTGTGCATTACTAAGTGCTGAGGTTAACTTAAAAGAAGGTATGAGAATATATTCATTACCAATAGCTAGGAATCTTTAGTATTTGGTAATTTACATCTCGGAATCCAAGAGAGACTTCCTGGGAGACGCATGGGCGACAAGGATGTGGGATTCTTTTCCTTTAGCTATATTTTAAATTCAGAATGTACTTACAGTTGACATGTTAGCGTTTCCTTTTTTGACATGTAGACCGTTTTCAGTAATACCGGGTTCGGTGTTGAGTGGCAGTTCAGTATCCCATGTGGGTCCTAACCTCTGCCCCTGGTTCGACTGTCTGGTTGAACTGAGGTCGGCTTAGCCAGAAATCACTCTGTGATTATGTTTCTGTGGTGGGTTTTTAAAATGTGTGCACTTTTCCCATTGATCACAATGTAGCACATATAAAACCTTCAAAAGTGGGGTGCTGGAATAATTTCGTCTGTGATCTAATAGTTGCCTGGGAGGCTGTCCCTGAGTACAAAGATAATCTTTTTAATCAGTGGTCAAAGGTCATTATTAAGCAGAGCCTATGCTTGAATCCCAAGGAGTGTTCCGGTATTTTTCTTACTATTTGCAAGGGGAGGTTTTTTTTTTTTTGTTTTTTTGTTTTTGTTTTTGTTTTTGTTTTTGCTTTTTGGGTCATACCCGGCGATGCACAGGAGTTACTCTTGGTTCGTGCACTCAGGAATTACTCCTGGCAGTACTCGGGGGACCCTATGGGATGCTGGGAATCGAACCTGGGTCGGCTGCGTGCAAGGCAAATGCCCTCCCCGCTGTGCTGTCGCTCCAGCCGCGCAAGGGGAGTTTTTAATGGCAGTGCTGGACGTTCTCCTCTTCCGCACTGCAGAGCTGAGCCTAACGGTTCACTTGACTGTGCTGTTGATATTGATCCCTCGATTATTTTTATCCCGGATTTCCAGCTAGTTCACATATTTCGTTGAAAATATTCCCATCGGTCTTTTCTGTAATCGGTGGCTTCATCGGCGATTAGCAAAATTTGCTGAAGAGCTCCCTGTTCTTTGGGAAAGTGTGCTACAGAAAAGACTTGTCCTTCAATCATTTAGATAATTCAAAATAAACCCACCCAGGGGTCTGGAGCGGGGCCGGAGAGATAGTCCAGCCCAGGGTGTCCGATCTTAGCGTGTGTGCTCTGCATGCAGCTGACCCGGGTTCCTCACTGGCATCCCATCTGGTTCCTTGAGAACCAGCGAGAGTCATTCTAAGACCTAAGAGCAGAGGGAGCAGTTAAGCCCCGAGCACTGCTGGGTGTGGCCCCAAAACAGAACGGGAAAAAAAAGTGTGGGGAAGGAGTTTGGAGAGTTAGTGCCAACCCCAGTTGGTTCGCCGGCACTGCAGACGGTCACGCCTGAGCCAGGAGTGATCCCTGGAGCACATCCGGCCTAGGCCCACCACCAACCCGCGTTAGAGACCTTGTGAAATTTGGCCCTGGAGATAGAAAGGACTTAGCGAGAACTTGGGGTCGGGAAGATGTCATTGTGATGTCCCCGTTTTGCGTTTGACTGTCAGACAACTCTAATGGAAATAATTCTGCTTTCAGGAAATGAGCGGCTTATACTCCCCCGTCAGCGAGGATAGCACGGTCCCCCAATTCGAAGCCCCTTCTCCGTCACACAGGTACAAAGCTTCAGACTTCCCGTTGCTGAGGATTGATGTTTTTTAAAATGCACATATGGTACCATGACTCGGGAGCATTTTTCATGTAATGTACAAAAACCCCTGAGAAATTACTTTTGGTCATGATCTAGCAGTGAGAGGTTTGGATGGCCCATCTGTTTCCTTACTGCTTTGAATTTTCTTGCCAGGAACCAGTCAGTAGAGTATTAGAAGGTTACGAACTGTTGGATTATGAGTTTGATACATTTCTTTTTTGGGGGGGGGGGGGGGTCACACCCGGCAATGCACAGGGGTTACTCCTGGCTCTGCACTCAGGAGTTACTCCTGGCGGTGCTCAGGGGACCATATGGGATGCTGGGAATCGAACCCGGGTCGGCCGCGTGCAAGGCAAACGCCCTGCCTGCTGTGCTATCTCTCCAGCCCTGAGTTTGATACATTTCTTGAGATGATCTGAATTCAGCTCAGACAGAATTAAAATGTGTAATTTGGGGGCACGAAATGGAAATCGTAGGGGCCTATTTGATGAAGTGAAGCCTTTCACTTTCTCCCAGCTTTTTGCGTTTTTTTTCTTGGCAGATCACTTTCGCCAGGCTTTAAAACGAGGGCATTCTAAGTGCTAGTACAGCGGGTAGGTGTTTGCTTTGCACGCGGCCAGCCCAGGTTCGATCCCCGGCATCCCGCATCTTCCTCCAGCGCCGCCAGGAGTAATTCCTGATTGCACAGCCAGGAGGAACCCCTGAGCATAGCTGGGTGGGACCCAAAAAAAAGAAATGAGGGCGTTAGACCTGTTGGTTTCGATCTTTTATCTCCCTCTAACAGGTTTGACTAAGATCTCCCTTCTGTTCCCCGGCAGGGCCGGAAGGCGCGTTCCTCTCACTCGTGACTATTTCCCTCCAGTTCAGAGGAGTGGTCACGGGAACGAGTCTTTTATGTTTGTGAGGGAAATGTCTGAGGCCCCTGCCAGCTTTAAAGTTCTTTTTGGTGCATTATCTATTACCTAAGGGCTGGAGCGAGCTGGCACAGCGGGGATGGAGTTTGTCCCCGCAGCGCCGCCAGGTGCGTGAGCCAGGAGGAACCCCTGAGCATCACCGGCTGTGACCCGAAAAAAACAAAGAAATAAGTGAAACAAAATGAAATGGTTCCTGCAGGAGCCAGGTGGAGAGGGGGGCGTGTGTGTCCTCTCAGTTCGGGAACTCTCGAAGCCGGAAGGGAAAGTTCAGGGTCCGGGAGAGATGAGAGGCGGTTGCATTGAAAAGCAGCAGATCGTGCAGAGGGCGGAGGATTTTCTAGTCTAGGGAAAAGCAGGAGAATTGCTGAAAAACTCCTGCAGAGTTGTTCTCAAAAGGAGATGCTGGCAGAGTGAGTGAGTCTGGTTAACAACTGAAAAAAAGAGAAACAGGCCAAATGGAATTGTCATCAACAGAATTTTTTTTTTTTTTGCTTTCTGGGTCACACCCGGCGATGCACAGGAGTTACTCCTGGTTCATGCACTCAGGAATTACTCCTGGCGGTGCTCGGGGGACCCTATGGGATGCTGGGGATCGAACCTGGGTCCGCTGCCTGCAAGGCAAATGCCCTCCCCGCTGTGCTATTGCTCCAGCCCCTCAAAAGAATGTTTTGATTTTTTTTAAACAAATAATTTGCATGCCACTTGAGGTTTGAAACACTTGGGGGGAAATTATGTACTCTTAGCAAATGACGCTTAAGATGAAGATGTGAAATTAAATGCGCTGAGGAAAATGTTAACATGATTTTTTTTTTTTTTTTAAAGAAATAGCATAGGGTTGGGGCTGGAGCCGTAGCACAGCGAGGAGGGCATTTGCCTTGCACGCGGCCGACCCAGGTTCGATCCCCAGCATCCCATATGGCCCCTGAGCACCCCGCCAGGAGTAATTCCTGAGTGCAGAGCCAGGAGTAACTCCTGTGCATCGCCAGGTGTGACCCAAAAAAGCAAAAAAAAAAAAAAATAGCACAGGGTTGAAGAAGATAGTGGGAAGGAGGGAAGGGATGAGGAATCTCTAACTGAAATGATATTAGCTCCTTCCACCCCAGTCCTCACGGGTTTACTTTACAAAACCTTCTGTAGCTTTATTTTCCCTGTAAAGAGGGCACGGAATTCCTCGCTTAGATTTGAGGTTTCTTTTACGATCTTTTTTTTTGGGGGGGGGGGGTCACACCCAGCAATGCACAAGGTTTTCTCCTGGCTCTGCACTCAGGAATTACCCCTGGCAGTGCTCAGGGGACCATATGGGATGCTGGGAATCGAACCCGGGTTGGCTGCGTGCAAGGCAAACGCCCTACCCGCTATGCTATTGCTACAGCCCCAGGATCATGTTTTTAAATATAAAGGGGAAACAAAAATGAGAAATCTTTTTTTTTTTTTTTTTTGTCTTTTTGGGTGGGCTGGAGCGATAGCACAGAGGCTTGCCTTGCCCGCGGCCAACCTGATCGACCCGGGTTCAATTCCTCCACCCCTCTCAGAGAACCCGGCAAGCTACTGAGAGTATCTCGCCCACATGGCAACGCCAGGCAAGCTCCCCGTGACGTATTCGAGATGCCAAACACAGTAACAACAAGTCTCACAATGGAGACGTTACTGGGCCCGCTCGAGCAAATTGATGAACAACGGGGAAGACAGTGCTTTTTGGGTCCCACCCGGCGATGCTCAGGGGTTCCTCCTGGCTCTGCACTCAGGAATCAACTCTTGGCAGTGCTCGGGGGGAGATCATATGGGATGTCGGGGATCGAACCCGGGTCGGTTGCAAGCAAGGCAAACGCCCTCCCCACTGTACTATCCATCCGGCCCTAGAATAAATTCTTTGGTGCTTGCTACAGGAACAGGCTTCCGGGGTGGTTGGGAAGATGGAGATGGTGGAGGAGGGAAGGCGACTGCGATGGTGGGGTTGGGGTTGGAATATTGACTGCCCGGGACAAGGCACGCACAAGCCCGGTGCTCAAATAAACAGGGAAACGGGAACAGGAAAGAGGAGCAGTTTGGACCCGGCCCAAGAAGACCCTGGCAGCCACTTTTTCCTGGGATTCTCCCTCGTCAGGTTGCTTTGTGTACAGTGCACATTTTGGACGGGATTAGAGGATTTTGTCTGGAATGTTTCTGGTGTTCACTTTACTTACGCACCGGTCGTATTTCTTAGTGAATAAGCCCAGATGTGAAATGCATAGAAAATCCCAGAGCCATGAATAAGATGCCTTTCATAACTGATGATTCCAATATCTTGAGTTTCGTTTTCTGCCACCGTATGCGTGAATACATAGGAGTGTTATTATTCAGGCTTGCAGTCACGGAGGTCTAAAATACGGCCTCTCTAGAAATAGCCTCAAAATTGATATGTTGTACTGGCCTCTGAAATGTCATTTCATAATTTTATTACTGTTTGTACAGATGCCAGGGGATTTGGTTTCACTAATTAAAATGGAGCAGGGAGCTCTTTTCTGGTGGGTTTTTTTTTTTCCCCTTAGTGTGAGGTAGAAGCAGGCAAGGCAGGGCAGTACCTCAGAGCCGCGTCCCTGGTTCAGGGACAGGGACTCTTAACTGTCCGGCATCTTCTCCATGCATGCGGCCGACCCGGGTTCGATTCCTCCGTCCCTCCTGGAGAGTCTGGCAAGCTCCCGAGAGTATCCCACCTGCACGGCAGAGCCTGGCAAGCTCCCTGGGGCGTATTCGAGATGCCAAAAACAGTCACGACCAGTCTCAACAATGGAGACGTTACTGGTGCCCGCTCGAGCAAATCGATGAACGACGGGAGGACAGTGCTACAATGCTACCCTTTTCAGTGGGGTCGGTAGCAATTCCAGGGGTGTGACTGCAGAGTCAGTTGGGGGGTGGTCGCATTAGCCCAAGAGACGCCATTAGAGGGTGGTACTCACTCTTTCATTTTTCATTTTGGGGGGGCCCTTCCCTACCGCCCCTGATTCAGACACTGCATTAGGAGCAGAATGAATTCACTTCCACTCCTGTGTCTTAAATTTGAAGACTACTATGAGGGCTGTTTGATCTGTTCCATATGTGAAGTTGTGAGGTTGTGTATTATTGACTACTAATAGAGGAAAAACTTTTTTTTGGGGGGGGGGTCACACCTGGCGGTGCTCAGGAGTTCCTCCTGGCTCTGTACTCAGGAATCACCACTGGCGGTGCTCAGGGGACTCTCTGGGATGCTGGGAATCGAACCCGGGTTGGCCCGCTGCAAGGCAAACGCCCTACCCGCTGTCCTGTCGCTCCAACCCCTGGGGGACGATTTTTAATGACTCTTATCCCCCCCTTTGGGACATTGTAGTGAGAATTGAAGACGGAAATTTTCATTTCAAATCTCTCTCTGAAGTGTTTTCCTCATTGGCAGTAGGTGTGGAAATGAGAAGCCCTAATAAGACGAATGGTCCCGGCCTTGTTGAACTGCTGAGGGGTGAAATTCCCGTCACGTCTCCATCATCCTAAGATGGCCCCTCATGTTTGACCGTGAAGGTTATTGGGATACTCCAAAAATAACGGTTTTGTGTACTTGTGTGGAAAGGGTTGTTTTCAGCAGTATCCTCAGTTGCTTGAATTTCATTCTGGTTTACGAATATAGTTAAAGAAGAAAGAGTTTTTTTCAATAGGTAACTCCATTCCTGGTTGGCACATGTATCATTATCATTATTATTATTATTATTATTTTCCTTTTGGGGTCTCACCCGGCGATGCACAGGGGTTGCTCCTGGCTTATGCACTCAGGAATTCCTCCTGGCAGTGCTTGGGGGACCCTCTGGGATGCTGGGAATCGAACCCAGGTTAGCCGCGTGCAAGGCAAACGCCCTCCCTGCTGTACTATCACTGCAGCTCCTATGGGATCACTCCCTGGCATGCCTGTTTGAGGGGGTGGGGTCACGGGGTAAATCGTTGAAACATTTGTCAATTTTCCCCCCTTCATTGTCCATCATGTCGCATTATTTGGTAACTGAATTAATGGCAATGCTTTCTGCTCTACACAGAGAAACACAGATCTGTGTGCCGCATTTCCGGTTTGCTTTTCTCTCTGAAGGTGGACACTGAACTTACGTTTTTGTCGTTCCCTTTGCAGTAGTATCATCGATTCCACCGAGTACAGCCAGCCTCCGGGTTTCAGCGGCAGTTCCCAGGTGAGTGAGCCTGGTCAGGGAGTGGTGAGTGGGTCCGCGCTCGGGAGCGTGCCCGATGATGCAGACGGCTGTTCGGAGCACTGGGGCCCGGAGGCCTGATCGCGGAGGGGCTCGGTCCTTTCACGGAACTTCGGGTGACGTCAGACCCTGAGAGGGAGAAATGATGTAAGAGGAAATGGTCGATTATCAAGGCTTAGCTTACATTCTGCTCATGAACTACCCATCACCGTGTTTTCTTCCCTTCCCCCTTCCCCTTTGGTTGGGGTCGCCGTGTCTGGGGCGTGCTCACTGGCCACACTGGTGACGCTGCAGTGCTCGCTGGATCGTAGCATCAGTTACCCTGTAGTGCCACGGTCACAGCCCTTGGTACACTCACTTGCCCCAGAGGCGGCCCCCACGCAGTGCAGCTGGCATCACCTCAGCGGTGTGGGATGGTTCCGGGAATCGAACACGCAGGTGCTCTACTGAGAACCCAGTCATTGGGCCCCCGTCTGTGCGTTTTCAGATATTAAACTTCTCTGGGGAAAGGAAACTGCAGACTTGAGTGAAATCAACTCTGGCTTCGCCCCTCTTTTAGCTCAATCATCTGAGGAGTTTTTCACTTTCCTTCTCTTCATCTGTGACCTGAGGCTATTTCTCAGTTCTGATTTTGAGGCCTGGCGTATTTAATAACTTTGTATTGAAATAACTTCACACTTAAACGCAGTTATAAGAATGGTTCAAATAACCGTTACTTTTTCCAGACTATCCACAGATTAGCCATTAACCATCCCACTCTTATTCTCTCTCTTACATATATAGATGTACGGTTTTGAAAAGCCTGGGTTATTGTCTAGGGTACAGCAGGGTGTCCCTTCTAATTACTTCTCTATGGAGTTTCTTAAAAACAAAGACATTAGGGCCAGAGAGACGGTACAGGAGGGGAGGCAGTGGCTCTGTATGTAGCAGACCCTGGTTTGAACCCCTGGCGTCGAATGTGGTCTCCAAGCAGAGCGCCAGGAGTAAGCCCTGAGCACTGCTGGGTGTTGCTCAAAACCAAAAAAAATCCAATAAAACAGATGCATTGGGGCTGAAAAGATCGTATAAGGGTTACAGCCCAGATGGGTCAGGTTTATTGCCTGTCCACATGTCTGATCTAGTTTCTCTGTTCGAATAAATGTCCAAATACTCCAGCGCATATTCTGCTCCTTACTCTTACTCTAAATTGGTAACTTAAATTCATTATCCATGCAGCCGAGCGCTATTTTAATCCAGAGGGTACAATGGCTACAATAGAGGGTTGACAGAATAATTCGTTTTCCCTTGGTAATTGTTTTCTAACAAGTTTTGACTCTCCGTAATGGATTCTACCTGCATTTAATTGGGGAGCGTTGAAAAAATTTGTGATTTTTGAAAAATTCATCTTGAAGCCTCTTCTTGCGTTAAAACCAAAGTTGGAAACTGATCTAAGAGCCGTGCGTTTTTACCACCTATCATTATTCTAATATGATGGACATTTGAAATGAATGAAATTAAGTGATTAAGTGATTAAGGACATTTGAAATAAGACACGTGAGCATGTAGGGCTTCTCTGCAGAACAGGTAAGGTTCGTCGCAAGTTTCAAGAGGCGTTTTGTTTTGTTCGTCCTGTTTTCACGTTAGACAAAGAAGCAGCCTTGGTACAACAGCACGTTAGCTTCAAGACGAAAACGGCTCACTGCGCATTTCGAAGACCTCGAGCAGTGTTACTTTTCCACGAGGATGTCCCGGATCTCAGGTACTCATGAGGGTTTCTTCAAGTCTTCCAGATCTGTGTCTGGCGTTTTATGTTGGGTTTATGCCTATTCCGAAAGCAAAAGTAGATTTTTCCACAAAGTCAGCATTGTGGATATTTTTAAGCGAGGAGCACAAGCAAGGAGCACATTCCTTTCTCATGACTAGTTTTGTTTTGTATTGGGGAGTTGGGGGCCGGGGTTCACTGCCAGGGGTGCGTGAGGTGACTGTGTGGTCCCGGGCTGGCATCCAGTCCCAGAGTGCGGAATGGGAAGCGTTTTCTCCCGCGCCGGCCTTTTGAGCCATCTCCCTGGTCCTCTCCGGGAAATGTTAACCTTAGTCCGGTGAGCTGTTTCAGGCTTTGGAAGCAAACACAGTTATGGCTGTCTAATGAGGAAGCCAGGGTGTATGCAGTTCTTCACTTTAGCAAGTTCTCTGTCTCTATGCTGAGAATAAAAAGGTGAAGGCACGGGGCGGGGGGGAGGTGTGTGTGTGTGTGTGTGTGTGTCTGTGTCTCTGTGTCTCTGTGTGCGTGTCTATGTCTATGTCTCTGTGTGTGTCTGTGTGTCGGTGTGTGTCTGTGTCTGTGTGTATGTGTGTGTGTAGTATTGTAAGTCTAATGGGAAAGGCAGCAGGTCCACAGCTGTATTTGATGCCCTGTGCCGTATGTAGCGAAGACGCCCTGGGACCAGGGAGGAAGGCCCGCTAGCAGAACTGAGAGTGACAGAGCCAGGCCGCGCATGGCTGAAAATGGGGCCTTGCATGTCGATGATCACCGGAAGGACTTCAGAGGGGCTGAGTTGTAGTAGGGACCGAAAAAGGTCGTGAGGGACACGTTCCGAGGTGAGAGAGGTAACTGGTGCAGAGCTCTGGACGGCGGAGTGCAGGGTCTCCCGCCGCTCTCGAGAAGTGAGCCAGTTCTGCCCCGTTGGCTCAGCGCTCTCCTCATGCTCACGTCTTGCCGGTGAAGGTGGTGTTGTGGAGGGTGACTCCGTGGAGGTGTGCCTGTTGGCCTGTAGGAGACCTGGGTTGATCCCTGCACCCCAGAACACAACACGGCAACAGCCAGCGGCATTGACAAGCCGACCGAAACACCAACCCTGCAGACTTTTAAGAAAAGAAAAAAGGCGGTAGGCGATGTGTATAAAATGGAGTACTTGGTCGGAACTGTTCGTTTTAGTCCTAATACAGCTTCTCAGAACGAACACCATCAAGGAAAATGATAACGGCTGATAATTTATTAAAAATTGCATCTTATTTTTCTCTCGACTAGGCATGTTTTCGGTGTGATTGATTTGCTGCTTCGATTCCTCGAACGTACTTGCCTCGGGATTGTTGGTGGAATTGAAAAATGTGGCAGATTTACATAATGTTTTCCCCTCTGAAGAGCAGTGGGAAACCAGCCTGGGTGTGTTTCAGAATTGAGTGATAGGCGGTTCTCGTGTAGTTGGAGAGTTTAAGTTTTCTGGCTTGGGGTTGGTGCTGGCCCCCACCGCCACCGAAGCTAAACTCTGTCAAGGTCTCTATTTTCTGCTCGTCAGCCGCACAACAAGGCCGGATATTTTCTTTCAGGTTGGGAAAGAGCTTGTGGAGCCTGTTGCTACTTTAAAAAAACTAGCCGCCTGGAAACGTCAAGGGAGAGGGGAGGTCATAACAGACCAGTTGGACCCATTTGAGGGCTCTAGCCTGGCAAGCTCCTGAAAGGATCCTGCCCGCACGGCAGAGCCTGGCAAGCTCCCCGTGGCGTCTTCGAGATGCCAAACACAGTCACCAGTCTCACCATGGAGACGTTACTGGTGCCCCCTCGAGCAAATCGATGAACAACGGGAGGACAGTGCTACAGCTCTACAGAAAGATACAACTGTAAAGTGACAACTAAGAGGAAGATAGATTTTGATTTCCACTGTGCTTCAGACATTTGTCTTGGGGCTGGAGCAATAGCACAGCGTGTAGGGCGTTTGCCTTGCACGCGGCCAACCCGGGTTCGATTCCCAGCATCCCATATGGTCCCCCGAGCACCGCCAGGAATAATTCCCGAGTGCATGAACCAGGAATAACTCCTGTGCATCACCGGGTGTGACCCAAAAAGAAAAAAAATAGACATTTGTCTTTAGTTTTTTTGGTTTATCCTGCCAAATTTGCATATCGAGGAAAGTAATCAAAACTATTGACTATATATAAGTTCCTCCTAGTGCTTTTGACTGGGAAAAGGAACTTTTAACTTCTGCGTAATGGAGGCACTTCAGAATTTCGATTGTCCTTTTGTGTATTTTCAAATGTGACTCCGCCCAACTTTCTTCAGTTTCTCTTACCCAACTTTGACTTACAACTTTGAAGTGGGATTAAGGAATGAGTGACTTGGAGAGAAGAGAAACTGGAACGCATTCAAAGAGAGCAGCTAGGTACTGAACACACTTTGATTTTGGCTTTGGTGTTGCCAGACGCCACATCCAGGCCCTAAAACAAAGAGGCACGTGATCTGCCGCCGAACACACACTACTAGTCTGTATTTAATACAGGATTAAATACCAGCAGATCTGTGTGTATGTTGCTTATAAACCAACCTCGCCAACGGAGTCCTGATTCCTAAACTGGACGTCACTGAAATAACATATTTTGCTCTCTTATAATTTCTACTGGAAGTAGGTGCTAATGAGTGGGTTTCCAATAGCTGAAAGTTCAGATACACCAGAAAAGTATTTTGGTCTTCAATAGATGCACATTCTTGGGTGCTCGTGAATTTCATGTTCTTAAAAATTGCTGTTAAAATGTGGAAGAATAGATTAACATTAAAGCAATTTAAAAATGAATATCTGAAGTAATTATCTTTCCAGTATTTATTGAATTAAATGCCAGAGCAATAGGATTAGGTAGGAAAAAAAAACCCAATTAACTATTAACAGCCAAACCACGCTGTTGTACATTTGGTTCCTTTTTTGCAATCACCCATACTTTATAATTTGATAATTTTCATGAGAAGAATTTCGGTGGATCAGGAGCTTTATCTTAATAACATGATATTCCATACTAATTCGATTTGTTCCTTTGCTATTTTTAGAATGGAAACACTACAGAATTGGACTCTGTTCAATGTAGGTCATTAGATTTGCCTGGTTAGTGTTGAAACATTTGAAATGATAAAAGAGTGTGTAATTCCTCTGGCCATTTTCTCGCTTACGATCACTGGTGACGCTTTCACATCCACAGGCTCGCCTGTGTTCCCTGATGACTTACTAGTCAGCTCCGCACACGCTGCCGAGTCACGCCTCGGTGACTCGGTGATGGTTATGATTGTGTCTTTGCTTCGCTGTGTCCACTGTTCGCAAAGGACACCGAGAGGAGCGATGACAAGAGTAAACAAGCTGTGTGTTTGCGTGGAGGAGCTTGGCACAGGGAAAGGTTTGCGATGACAGTGTTGTCGGGAACGTAGGTCAGGTTTCAGCCTAGGAACTGAAAGTTCGTTGAACTTCAGGGCCACGTTTGGCAGTGCTCAGGGCTTACTCCCGGCTTCGTGCTCAGGGCTTACTCCGGTGGATCTTGGGGGACCGTCTGTGATGGTGGGGGGGATCGTGGGTGGGTAATCTGTGTACACGGCAAGCACCGTCTGTGCTCTGTCTTCTCGGACCCTTTTCTTTTTGGCCCTGACGTGGGGCTCTGGGTGGCTCCCGGGGTTACCCCGTGCAGTGCTGGAGATCAAACAGGATTGGTTTGATCAATGCAATCACTGGAAACGCACTGACTGCATCTATTCAATGCAGGTCATGAGATTTGCCTGCTTAGTGTTGAAATATTTAAAATGAGAAAAGATTCTATAATTCCCTCTGGCAATTTTTTTTCCATGTCACTATCACTGTTGTCCATTGTTCATCGAGTTACTCGAGCGGGCGCCAGTAGCTTCGCGTCTCCGCTCATCCCAGCCCTGGGATTTCAGCAGCCTCGGCATGCAAAAACGATTCTGGTCCCTCCGCACTGCCTTTCTAGCCCTGCTTTGCTTTTCATTCCTTGGAAAGGAGCGATGAGTCCAGATCTGAAATATTTTTGAAAACCAGTGGCGAAAAACTGCTAATAACTGCTTTTCGTGATAAAACTGTGTATTTAAATTGAAGAGTAGTTTGGCTGTATTCTTTTCCTCTGTTTTGTTCATCCGTTATTCTGTTCAGATGGATTACGTTTGATTGTTAAATAAACCCGGCTGGACTATTAACATGTTCCCTCAAACTAGCAAATAGCTTTTTTGTTTGTTTCTTTGTTTGCTTTTGCTTTTTGGGTCACACCCAGCGATGCTCAGGGGTCACTCCTGGCTCTGCACTCAGGAGTTACTCCTGGCAATGCTTGGGGGACCATATGGGATGCCGGGGCTCGAACCTGGGTCAGCCGAATGCAAGACAAACGCCCTCCCCGCTGTGCTATTGGTCCGGCCCCCCAAATAGCGTTTTGTATATACACGTTCATTCCTTTCTCCTCTTTTCTTCAATATCAAGCTAAGAAAGCGATTTTGGCTTGAGAAACGATTTTTAACTTCTCTTTCTCAAAAGTACTTTTCCGGTTTTGTTTCCAGCAAATTTTTGCTTAATAAGAAGGAGAGAAATTGATGTTGAAAATCACAGATTTGGCCAGAGCAATAGTATAACGGGTTAGGCATTTGCCTTGCAGCCAGCCGACCCGGGTTTAGCCTCTGGCATTCCACATCGTGCCCCAGCACTACTGGGAGTAATTCCTGTGTGCAGAGCCAGGAGTCAGCCCTGAACATTGTCGGGTGTGACCCAAAAGAGAAAAATCAAGAGAAAATCCAGGTTTTTCCAGTTAAAAAAAAGTTTTATGGGAGCTGGAACAATAGCACAGCAGGGAGGGTGTTTGCCTGGCACGCAGCCAACCCCGGGTTCGATTCCCAGCGTCCCATAGGGTCCCCCGAGCACCACCAGGAGTGAGTCCTGAGTGCATGAGCCAGGAGGAACCTCTGTTACATTACTGGATGTGCATCTCTGGGTGTGAGCCAAAAGGAAGGGGAAAAAAAAGTTTTACTGTAGCTTGTAACATCAGCTAGTTAATTTGTGCGTGCTCTGATCTTTCCTAAATGCTTCTTCAGATTTTTTTGTTTGTGTGGGGGCTGGTCAGATAATCCAGGGCGATTTTTACCTTGCACACAACCGACCTGGGTTCGATCCCAGCACCACTTATGGTCCCCTGGGCCCTGCCAGGAGTGAGCCCTGAATGTCAGACCAGGAGTAAACCCTGAGCACGGCCAAGTGTGATCCTCAAACCAAACCAAAACAAACCTTGGGAATTTTTTTTTTTATAATGTGATTTTTAATCTGTGGATATTGCTCTTTGGATTATATTATAGTTCAGAACAGTCATTTGGCCTTTTTTCTCTAGATGACAGCCGAACTGCAAGCCAGCTGGATGAGTTTCAGGAATGCCTGTCCAAGTTTACCAGATATAATTCAGTCCGGCCCCTGGCAACGTTGTCCTATGCTAGTGACCTCTATAATGGCTCCAGTATCGTCTCCAGGTAAGTATTCTTCACGGCTTCCTGTTGCAGATGTTCTAGAATCCAGTAGACCATGAGTAGAAATTTTACTGTTTTAATGTTTCAGAACCAGTGATCTGAAGTTGGGTTGCCTGATAATTTCGAATTCTGTGAGCTTAGCATGGTTTGTGAAATCTCTCTCTTCCTCAGTTTCTTCATCTCTGAAATGGGGTAATTGGTCAGAGCTTCCTCAAAGACGTGAGTGTTGGCTTGGGTTTCCTTTGACAGGTTTCGATAACAAGAGTTCGTTCTTGTCATTTGATTCCTCTTCAGTTTCCTGGGAGAGTTGGTGAAGAATTGTGATTATTTCTCAAATATTTTGTAGACGTTTTCCAGTGATACTCTCTCTGTCTTAAGATTTGAGAGAAGATTTTTAAGAAAATAAATAAATTCAGCTTTCGTAGATTATCTGACTTTTTGTCTATTGTTGATTTAGCATGCATGAGCTGTGGTAATTAAGTTTGTCTTTCTAAAGCAATGTATCACCCTCATGTTGGTCGCTGAGTTTATTGACTTATGTTTGTGAAATTCCTTCATTATCTTATTTATTTATTTATTTATTTTGGCTTTTTGGGTCACACCCGGCAATGTGCAGGGGTTACTGCTGGCTCTGCACTCAGGAATTATCCCTGGCAGTGCTTGGGGAACCCTATGGGATGCTGGGACTCGAACCTGGGTCGGTCATGTTGGCTGCATGCAAGGCAAACGCCCTACCCGCTGTGCTATCGCTCCAGCCCCTGATTATTCTTTTAATGTCTTAGATTCTTAATGATACTGTTTCTCATCCCCGATACTGAGTTTTCCCTCTTTTTCCCTTTTGTTATTGGTCTGGCTTGGAAGTTTGTCAGTTTTTTCAAAGAATGTAGAATATTTTTCTATATTTTTCTCTTTGTCTTGTTGATTTCTCAGTTTTACCGTTTCTTCTGCTTTCTTTAGATTGTCAGCTTTTATTTTTCTAAGTCAGAAACAAGTGCTGAGTTGAAAACCTTCTTAGAAAATTCATTTCAAGCACTGCTTTGCACATTTGATGTGGTATGTGCTTTTTTCCCCAAAAACTTTTTTATTGTAGTCAAATAAATATAAGTTATAAATGACTGTCTCAGGCCCGAGAGATAGTACAGTGGTAAGGCACTTACCTTGCATGCCACCAATCAGGTTCAGTCTCTGGTATCCCTTATTATCCCCCGAGCACTGCCTGTAGTGATCCCTGAGCTCCGCTGCCGGTGGTCCAAAAATAGAACAAAAAAAAAAAATCAAAAGAGTTCCCACATGACCAAGCATGCCATTCGTGTAGCGTACATGAATGACACCATGCGACCATTATCGCCGTCCAGCTTTGTCGTACACTGTGCAGCCCTCACGCCACCCAGCACCCAGTGAGATTGGATTGGGGTGCCCATGGCAGTCACTCCCACGGACCCTTGTGTCTGCTTCGGGGCCGCTGTAACTGCCTCTTTGGAGTGAAGGCGCAAAGCCCCGCTGGACTCATTTCCCTGCAGATAGGTTTGCAGTGGGGCTCTGAGTCACGTTTTCCTGAAAGGGGAAGGTTGGTCAGATAACTTTGGCGCCTCTGATTCAGCCGCATCTTGTGCTCATCTCTGTGTGTGTGGCGTAGTTCAGAATTTTCTTCCTTTGACTTGTTTTTCCGGGGGGCCGCACCTTGAGGTGCTTGGGGACGGACTACCCCTGTCTCTGTGCTCAGGGATGGAACGGGGGTCGGCCACATGAAGGCATCTACCTTCACCTCTGTACTTCGCCGCCGCCCCCAAGAGATCTTCCTGTTTTCCCTTTCACCGCTTTTATTGAGGTGTGTGATTTCCAGTTCTGTGAATTAGACATTTCTTGTGTGCGTCATTTCAACTCCATACTCATCACCAGGCGCTGGAGCGATAGCACAGCGGGGAGGGCGTTCTGCCTTGCACACGGCCAACCTGGGTTCGATTCCTCCACCCCTCTCAGAGAGCCTGGCACGCTACCCAGAGTATTCCACCCGCACGGCAGAGCCTGGCAAGCTCCCCGTGGCATATTCGCAATGCCAAACACAGTCACAACAAGTCTCACGATATAGACGTTACTGGTGCCCGCTCGAGCAAATCGACGAACAATGGGAGGACCATGCTACTCATCACAGAGTGCCCACTTCTTCCCCCCCACCCACAGGCTTCTCCTCCCAAACCCTCCCCTCTCAGGAAAGCTAAGTCCCAAGAAATCTTTTAACTTTGTGTGGGTGTGTGATTCATAAATTATTGGGACATACCTCAATTTGCAAATACTTTTCTGGTTTTTTTTTTTTTTTGTCGTTAATTTCTGTTACGTTTCCTATCCAGATGATCATTTTATCTTACCTTTCCTAATAAAAGTTATATGCAGGAGGCCAGACTATTGGTACAGCGGGTAAGGAATTTGTTTTGAAAGCGGCAAACCTGGATTCAGTTCCCAGCATCTCCGATGGTCCCTTGAGCACTCCAGGAGTTTCCTTGAGCACAGAGCCAGGAGTAAGCCCTGAGCTCTACAGGTGTGGCCTAAAAACAACCCCCCCAAGACAGTATTATATGCATTAAAAATAGAAATCGTAGTCCCTCAAACGATCAACTCCCAGATTCAGCAGTGATCCAGATCTTCGCTTATGCTTTTTCATTCTAGTACTTTGAACTTTTGGGGTGGGGGGGTGTGATATCACCCCTGGCAGTGCTTAGGGATCACGTCCAGTGGTGCTGGGTGGGACAGGGACAGGGAGATACTCGGGCTCGAACCCTGGTCCCTGGCACGCAGAGCGTGTGCCCAGCCCCGCCGGCCCTGCCCCTTGAGTCATCTTGTCTGCCTGCTTATGTTTCAATGAGCTTGCCTTTTTGTCTGGAGTTGCGTGTTAGAAACTCCTTGTCAGTTGTGTGATGTTGCGATGCTTTCTCTCATTCAGCTAGTCTTTTTGTGATGTTGATGATTCCTTTTTGCTGTACTGAAGCTGTTTGTTTGTTTGTTTATTGCTTTTTGGGTCACACCCAGCGATGCTCAGCTCAGGGGTTGCTCCTGGCTCTGCACTCAGGAATCACCCCTGGCGGTGCTCGGCAGACCCTATGGGATGCTGGGAATCGAACCGGGGTCGGTCGCGTGCCAGGCCAACGGCCGACCCAGAGCTTACTGTCACTCCAGCCCCTGAAGCTGTTTAATTTTATATTGTCTACTTGCGTTTGGAATCAGATCCAAGTCGTTCTCTCTCAGACTGATGTCACGGCTTTGGGTCTTACGGATTTTAAAGCTGTTTTGAATTCATTTTTGTCTGATTGGTCCGTGCTCATTGTTTTGGCATGAATATAGCCTTTCCGTTTCCATGGTTAAGACCTTTATTTATGTATGTAACCATCAGAGACCTTTTATTGTAAACTAGCTGGAGGTTTCACTCCAGGAATAAGACAACAAAGTTTTGTTTTTTGTTTTCTTTTTGTTTTTTGGGTCACACTTGGTGTTGCTCAGGGCTTCCTCCCGGCTCTGCACTCAGTAATCACTCCTGGGGGTGTTTGGGGGACCCTATGGGATGCTGGGAATCGAACCCGGGTCGGCCACGTGCAAGGCGAACGCCCTCCCCGCTGTGCTATCGCTCCGGCCCCAAGACAGCACACTTTGATGCTGGCAATGGGAATTTCCTTTCCAGGCACTAGACTGACTAAAATTTGAAACTGCAGAAGCAGTTGTAGTGCTTATTTCGCCAGTGAATTTAGTGAGCAATTAAATTGATGCGGTTTCATTAGATGAGTAATTAATCTACTTAACAAAAACTAATTGACCACCTAGCGTGGTCTCGATTAAAGGTATACTCTGTTTATGATATTTGGAGTCAAGAGAGCTCGTAATCTCCCCTCTTGATGAGAATGTGCCTTCACTGAAGTATTAATGGAAGTCTGCTAAACAATTTGCCTGGCGCAGGAGTTTAATGCCGTTAAAAAAGTTCTTAACTGATGAAGGAATGTATCGTGCATATTTCCAAAGGTTTAAGAAACGTAGCTTGGGTGTGAGGTGGCAGAAATAATTGGGGTCAACCAGGGACAGCCTCATGCAAGGCCTTCATCTCCCCGCCTGCAAACGATCTCTCTGGTCTCGTAGCATTTCCTCTTTGTTTGGGGATCACACCTGGCTTTACTCAGGAGTCACGTCTGTCACTATTCTGTGGCTACATTGGATGCCGGGGTGGGGCCGGGGAGGGGGGTGATCCGGGTGTGTTTGTGCTTCTGGCCCCTTACTTTTGAAGACCATTTTGCACTGATCTGTTATAGTCTCGGTGTGTTTTTGTTTTATTTTGTTTTGTTCTGTTGTTTTTTTGGGTCACACCCGGCGATGCTCAGGGGTTCCTCCTGGCTCTGCACTCAGGAATCACTCATGGTGGTGCTCAGGTTGGCCCGGGTCCGGCCACGTGCAGCGCCAACGCCCTACCCACTGTGCTATCACTGTGCTATTCTGCCCCGGGGTTTGTTTTTAATGCAGTACAAAGATTTATATTCAAATCCTGTCCATGCAGCAGCCAAGATGTCCTGTCAGAGGAACAAATACTCCACAGACCTCAGTTTGGGAGTATCACTTGTTGAAAGCGAGTCATCAAAATAAGTAGATAGGGGTGTCAAAATGGACCTTTGCCACATTTTGTGTGCTTAGTGATGTTGTCTTAGCCGCTGTAGGAGAAAGATGGCCAGTGTTCAGAGCTTCCCCAGAAGGCAGGACAGATGTGACTGGTCACCTGCAAGCGAGCAGACCGGGGGGCAGAGAAATGAAGGCGTTTGGACTCTGTCCCAGCCTCGACCACTTGGCTCTCCTCCTTCCTCCCAGACTCTGCACTGGTAATGCCATTATTTGGAAGGATTTTCTTTTTCTTTTCTTTTCTTTTTTTTTTTTGCTTTTTTGGGTCGCATCCGGCGATGCACAGAACTTACTCCTGGCTCACGCACTCAGGAATCACCCCTGGCAGTGCTCTGGGGACCCTATGGGATGCTGGG